GTTCTGGAGCCAGAAGTTTGAAATCAGGGTGTCATCAGGGTTCCACTTCCTCTGAAGACTCCAGGGGAGTTTCCATTTCTTTCCCCTTCCAGCTTCCGGAGGCTCTGGGCATTCTTTGGCTTGTGGCTGCATCTCTCCAATACCTGCTGCTGTGATCACATTGACTTCCCCAAGTCTGCTGCCAAGTGTCTACTGTGGGTGTCTTATAAAATACTTGTCATTGGATTTAGACCTCAGCTTGGTAATAGAGGATGATCTCTTCAACTTAAAATCCTCAACCTAATTACAGCTTCGAAGAAACTTTCCAAATGAGTTAACATTCACAGAGTCTAGGAATTAATATATGGACATCTGTTTTTTTCGGGCCTATCATTCAACCCACTAAAATGCAAATAAATTCTTGTCTATAGATATGTAAATTCAATTTTCTGGTAAAGGTTCAATTGACTTCCCTACCTCTCACCCCTTTTGGAAAAATCGGGTTTGCCTCCATTTTCACATTCACTGAAATATTCCTGATTTATAAATGAGTGTTCTTTGGATTCTCTTTTCAAATGGCAATGACACCCAGCTGGTATCATCATTGATTGAATTAAATAAATCTGTAATGTGTTCACTTTATATAAACATAAAAGTTATGAATTTGGAAGGATAATTGTCTTTTAAAGGTAGCTATAAGAGGGAAGTGCTGATTGAAAAGAATGTTATAATCATTTATTTACTTGTTCTCTCTTTTTCTCTCTCTCTCCATTAAAATGTAAGGTTCATGGTAGCAGACATTTTTTTTTTTTCTGCTTTGTTCACTGATGTATTTCCAGTATTGAAAAAGTGCCTGACACATATTAAGGACGTCATAATAATTATTTTTTGTGAGTGAATGTGGGATTAAAAATAACAAGCAATCTGGGGTGTTTTCTATTTAAAAGCATTTGGTGGGAGTGAATGTGCTGAAGGAGCAAGCTGCAGATTGTTGGTGCACTTGAATGCCATGCACAAGGAGTTAGACTCTGTCTGGGGTGGTGAGGAGTCCTTGAAGGTGCAAGCCAATCTCTTACTGAGTTCTGCATTCATCTTGATCTGTTTTTCTGAAACAGACAATTAAGCCTCTACCCAATAATATAATGATTTCTTCTCTGTGAATAACATTTTTCCCTTTGAAGGGAAGAGAATTTGGATTTTACTAAAATGGAGATTTAGTAATGATAAAAGATAATAATCACAGTGGTTCATAAAATAACATGAAGACTTCAAGCTGAACTTCTGGCTATTGATGTTTGATAAAAAGATGCAGAATGTTACAGTGAGCAGACACCAATATAAATTTATCTTAGCATATCTGTACACATCAGAAATTATTTTTGATGTGACAATATTGTTGAAAAGATTATTAATATTTATTTCAGAATAAACTATGGTATTTAATGATTTTCAATTCCATATCCTAGAAATCCAAAAATATAAAAGAATCTAGTGCAAAACCAATAGGTGAAACTCAGAAACATGGTGGGAAATTATGCCTAGTTTCTGATTTTCTGTGTCCTTTTTTATCTCTTCCTCACTATTTAATTTCTAAATATATATTGAAGTATTTTTTTAATGTATCATCACGTCATCCAGAGTAAAAGAGCATATGCTGAACTCATCGAAGGTTTGGTTTTACAAGTTGATATTTTTGATGAACAATCTGTACTTTAAATTGATGAATCTTGAATTATTTACTATAAGAAACTCTGTCACATTGAGTGTAAAATAGCATAGAATATTTGGTAAACTTTGAATTTGCTCAGGTCCAGGAGAGTCACAGTGCATCTCATTCAGGGCAGTCCCTACTCTCTCTTTGTATTCTGAATCAATGGCTCTGTTGTAGTCAAGGCTACAGTGACGCATTGTGAGGCCGGGGAGAAATACAATCCCAGCCCTGAAGTTGTTGGAAAGAATACAGATTTGTGGAACACAAATTAGTGTCTAGTATGTTTTAGTGCTACTTCATATCATTAATGACCTGAATTTTCCATAAGTTTAAGTTTCTTTTGTTATTAACTCAAACCAAAATTACTCTGTTGTTTTTCAACCAAACTGTTTTCTCTTTTATGAAGTCATTTACTCATGTAAGAACAAACTTTCTAAGTATTCACAAAGAGTTTAAACAGTTTTCAGGAAGAGAGTGCAAGGGAAAAATCACAGTTTAGAGACTATAAAAACTACCAATACATTTCCACTGTTATAAATCTCACCATGACATTATTTTTTTAATGGGCTGCCAGATGAATCAAGACTAGGAAGAATAATAGCTTGAGGACCTTTAAGCGTTTTGTTTCTATTGACTAAACTGAAGAAATTGTAAGGAATATTCCTATAGGAATATATCTTAGAACTAACTAGCAAATGCTCTTTTTAATTGGTTGAGAAATAACACCATAAATTGATCTTAGTTAACATTGCTTGTCTCCACATACCAACTGGAAGCTTAAAAGAAGTTTTATTTATGTTTTAAAATACTACTGCTTCTTCCAGAAAAAAAGAAAAGTATTCCAGCTTACTTCATTCCTCATTTTTTGATTAAATACACACATGCTCACACACACAAAGTAACCAGAAGGAAATGAATTGACCATAGTCATCTTATTTGAGTTTAAAGGATAAAAGAGACTCTTATGGGAAGAGAATCGAGCAGGATAAATCTGAGGCAAGAGGAAGGAAAAATGAGCACTGTTCACAAAGCATGGAAACAAATCACCTAATTAACTAGCACATTTGCAGTTTCTACCCAGGGGTAAAGCTCTTTGGCTACTAACATGTGAGCTGGCTGAAGAGCTTCTGGAGACATAGATGTTAATAAGAATTCAAAAGGCTGGGTCCGGTGGCTCACGCCTGTAATCTCAGCACTTTGGGAGGCCGAGGTGGGTGGATTACCTGAGGTCAACTGTTCAAGACCAGCCTGGCCAACATGATGAAACCCTGCCTCTACTAAAAATACAAAAATTAGCCAGGTGTGGTAGCCTGTGCCTGTAATTCCAGCTACTTGAGAAGCTGAGGCAGGAGAATCTCTTGAATCCAGGAGGCAGAAGTTACAGTGAGCCGAGATTATGCCACTGCACTCCAGTCTGAATGACAGAGTTGAGACTCGAAAGAAAAAGGCAAGGAGAGGAGACGGGAGGGGAGGGGAGGGGAGGGGAGGGGAAGGGAAGGGAGGGGAGGAGAGGGACTCAAAAGATGGTGGATCTGACATACAATCATGATTAATTTGTCTCTAGTCTTTATAGTCCTTACTGATAGGATGGGATTTTTTGGTTAACCTCAAGTGTTTATTGTTGAAATAAATTCATATCCTTTCACCTGAGAAGGGTATAATAAGAGATGGTAGAAAAGGCTTGGTGTGGGTTAGGAATAATGTTTAAGAGGTTCTGAACACTGGATAATGCTGTAGTTTCACTTATTTTGCTATTTGTATATGCCATAACATACATATTATTCATTGTTAGGAAGGCAATCAAGAATTATTTTAATAATAATACATAAAGGATTTCCCCAGTTATCATGGGAAAAACAGGAGTTTAATTCCTGTCATTTCAATTATTTTTTCCAAATCTAATCCGTTATAGATATCAACTCATTATGACTTAGAGCACTTAAAAAAATTCACATACAGTAAACTTCGTTTTTTTGGGTGTGTAGTTCTGTGAGTTCTGGCAAATGCATAGAGTCCTATGACTATGAAGATATAAAACAGCTCCATCACTTCCCAAATTCTATCCTACTGCCATTTATGGTCATCCCCTTTCTCCATACTTAACCCCTGGCAACCAGGGGGTTAAGTGCTTTATATAAAGCCTTTTTCTAGGATATCATTTAAATGCAATCATCCACACACTATTCATTTTTTGACAGTATCTTCAAAATTTCAGGGAGAACGATATGCTTTTTAAAAAAGAAAACAATAAATCAAGGATGTGATACCTGCCAAGTATAGTAGACTTGTTACTGGACATTTAATTATTTTATTAAAAATATATAACATGAGTATTAGTTATGGTTCTGAAGCTACATTTCTCCTTGGACCCTGAAAGGCCAGGCAAGCCCATGTCCATCAAATAAAAATAAAGGAATTCTTGGCTGTAAAGGAGTATTGAGCTGAGGCTACCTCTGAAACAGGGAGGGATAGTTATTCTGGGAAGGGCAAGATCCATTTTCTTATTGGCTTCTGGTTAAGCTGGTCATAGAGAGAAGACCTGATGAATGAATGGCCTTTGAAATTCTCAAATTTGCATGTGAGGGCACATTTGTAGATGGAATTGGTCATTCCACCCAGCTCTTGGATTGAATCCACTGCAATAGTTTTCTTGATGAGTTTCCAGGATGCACAGATCACTACCATGTGGTCTCAGTGGAGAGGCCCCTTAACTAGGCAATGGCATGTGGGAAACTGCACTCCCTTCTGAAAACCTTGAGCAGCTTTGGTTAAAAGCCTCACAGTTTTTCTTTAACAGCAGGCTTTTTCCCTCCACTTAATGGCTCTTTTCTTTTCTCTGCCAAATTCACTGCATTGTTGAGGAATCAGAAATGATCCCATGAAAGGAAAGTGATGATATTAAAGTGGTCCGCAGGGCCTTGTGCAGGTTCAGCCCACAATGCCACCTTCACTCAAAATAGCACATTTACCATTTGATAAATGGTTTTGGATGATAATCTTTTTTTTTTTTTCTTAATTTCAGGATTTGTCTTTCTAAAGTGCTGCAAAGTAATCTTTTAGTTTAACCACAGCCAAATAACCTAAGGTCGAAAGATGTATTTTGATGATTAATTCTTAGTGTTACATTGTAGACATCTCTAGGACTTGTAAATATTTTACTAAATTTCATTTAAAAAGTCTCTGAACCCATTAATATCAGGAAATTGCAAATACATATAAATTATTTAAATATGTATATTAATAGCAAGATAAAATCTTGAAATATTAATGTTATGTATTACTTTTCCCCACTTATTTATGCACAGCATTTTTTCCACATTAACTCAAGAAGATCGTTTAACGGGGAACAAAAGATCAAGAAAGAATTTGCCTATATCTCTCCTCCTTCTCCTCTTCTTTTTTCTTTTTAATTACCAAAGTCACATTCTTGATAATCAGCAGGGTGAAAGACCTGAGGTAAACAAGCCCCAGCTGTTATGAATCAATACTAGATTTGGAAAGAAACCCAAGAACCAGATTACTCCATCCACACTGCCCTCCTGCCTTCTTAGAAGCAGGCTATCAAAGAAGAATTAGGGGTTATGGGGCAGAGGACAGGAGGTAGGAACTTCTCCTAGAAGAGTTTGGAGGGGTGAGAGATGAGAGGATGGGACCTGGCTAGACTCTGTGGGAAGGGTAGGGTGTTGCAAGGAAACTGCTGAGGACGTTTGGGGTCTGAGGAAGGCTGAAAAACCCTTCAGAGTAGCACATCTTCCTGCTTTGGGGAAAGCACATGGGTCTCTTCACTGCAAAAGACTTTGATGCTTCCTGATGATCCTGAGAGACTTGTGGACACCCCACACATGTAGTCCCAGCAGTCCAGAGCATATTTAAGCCCTTGCAACAGAGGGTGGGCATCTTTATATTCAAAGACAGTGGGAAGATGTGAGGGAAAACAGCAACCCCAGGACGGGGATGGGACTGGCTAGCCACGAACCAGCAAAGAATGAAAGACAATCGCTCACCTTTTGAAAACAGGCAAACTAATTAGAGTATCCCCATGAAATAGGATGACTGTGGGCAACACTAAAGCAGCAGGAATTCCATGTGTCTCTTTTCTTCCTCTTGCTGCCCCAGTCAGTGCTTTCTCTCCCTCCCTGGGGGCCTGACTTCTATTTGCATCCATTCACAGCTAGCTGCCACCTGACCCCTAACAGAGGTGTCAGCCGGCACATTTTGGGTACAGATTTACATTTTCACAAGCGGCAAGTTAAAGATCATTGAATTCAGAGGTATGTGTCAGGGTGGAATTAAAAGTTTTAGGAGGTTGGATGGGAAAACTTGATGGAAAAATAAAAAGGAATTAGCTAGCTATGGTTGTATGAATCAAAATAATGATGTTGAATATAATAGTACATGATGTAATGTCTATAAAACTTCAGAAAATACAAGCTAAATATAGTCACAGATTGTAGATCAGTAGTTTCTTGGAGATGAGAGGGCGTAGAAAGGGGTAGAAGGGAGGGATTACCAAGGGGCACAAGGAGATTTGGTGGGGGGCGATGGATATGTTCAGTGTCCTAATTGTGGTGATGATTTCATGGTTGTATGCATATGTCAAAAATATCAAAGTGTACACTTGAAATTTGTGAAGTTTGGCCAGGCATGCTGGCTCATGCCTATAATCCTGGCACTTTAGGAGGCCCAGGTGGGCAGATCGCTTGAGCCCACATGTTCAAGACCACCCTGGACAACATAGGAAGACCAGTCACTATGCATAATTTAAAAATTAGCTGGGCTTGGAGGCAGGTGCCTGTAGTTGCAGCTACTTAGGAGGCGGAGGCAGGAGGATCACCTGAGCCAGGAGGTCCAGGCTGCAGTGAGCCATGATCATGCCATTGCACTCTAGCCTGGGTGACAGAGACTGTCTCAAACAAACAAAAACAAAGCAAAAAAGAAATCTGAGAAGTTGATTTTATATAAATTATAATTCAATAAAGCTGTGAAAAACAAAACTTGATGGAATAAGGAGCCAGTTCTGCCTTCCTTGAAGCAGAGCAGTCATTTGCCTGCTCCATTAACTCATAGGGTCACATTTGAGAACAGAGTTATCACTCTTCCTTGAAGCTGACGAAGCTATAGGGCGGAGGGGTAAAGTAACTTAAAGAAGACCACATGGTTTGAGCTGTTTCCAGTGTTATCATAAAGCTGCTGTGCTGTGAAATGCCAGGCTGTCTGGTGTCTCAGAGAGGCACGGTTCACCAACCTGTCCTTCATTTCTCCATGGAAGTATTACTTAGCATGAGTGAAGCATCCAGTATTACTTAGCATGAGTGTAAGTACCTAGTGACTGAAGATATTGTGGGAAAACATATGTTATTTAAATTGGAGCATTAGACATGGCCCCTACAGCTAAATTAGTAAGTTCTGGTGATTTTTCATTCACTTTTCTTCTCTTTGTGCTACTTCTCTGAGTTGGTTAATAGGCATCTCTAATTTAGCCTTGAAGAGAGAAGAGTTTCCTAACCATCCTTTTATGTATGTTTAGGACCTTGTTTAAAGATGTGAAATTGCTTCACAGGTAGGGAATCTTCTTAAAAGGTGTTTGGGGTCATGGGTAATACTACTTATTTTTAAAACATTTGCATTTCAAAGCTCTTTAACCATACGAGATCTTCTGGCTTCTCACTCTTTCTCCTTTTCCCTGCACTTTAGGAAACAGAGTCCTTTGATGTGATAAAGGCCACAGGATGGTTAATGACAGAGCCAGGACAGGAACTGAGGCTGCTTGGCTCCCTGCCCAGTGTTCTCCCCACTCACAAACTCGCAAGAAAAGCCACATGTACCCAGGAGAGAGCTTTCACATTTGAACTATGTTAGACAGGAAGCCCCTCACACGTGCTGGAGCTTGCTCTGTGTATAAGCTAATTCTCATTTCAATGACTCAGTAAGTCAGACATTCTTGCATTCCATGTGCAAAATATAAAATTGGGCTCCTCAAAATGTTTTTCATTAGCGATGCCCCAAATAAACGTTGACAGGTTAAACGCTTCCATATTCATTCTAAGGAATTATTGTGATTCTGAACTGGAATAACATTGAATACCAGCCTCATCCTAACAAGGAGCTAAAAAGTATAGTCTGTGCAAAGAGTATTTTATGAAAATAACATTTAAATAATTAAAAGAAATCTTTATAGTCTTTCCTTTCCGGAGGGGATAATGAGTCATTCTTTTTGCTCACCTCTACATATCGGTCAGAAAAAAAAAAAAAAAAGCCAAACTTCATCAGTATGTGAGATGCATCTGTGGATATAAGCCCCTAAACAATCCCTTCCTCCCTCCCATAAAATTAAATTAATCCATGCCTGAAAGCATAGCCTGTTTCCTTTGCTTATTTTTGTCCTAGAGTATGTCTGATCTCTCTGCTTGTCTCTACACTAATCCTGCTTACGGACTTTAACTCCTTGAGGTCAGGCAAGGATGCAGCACAGATATTAATTTAAAGTGTTGTGAGATTATGCAACCACCTATGTCCCTAATGTATTTTTAATATATTTTGAGGTTTTTCTTACCTTTGTTTTGTTTGTTTGAGAACTCTTTTCTGGGATGAGGACAATGCAAACCACCAAGAAATCCATTAATAACCTTCCAGAATGCATTGAGTACCAGGGTTTGGGAGTGGGTCTCCAGGTGACCAGCGGCTCATCTCGGCTGTACCACAGGAGGGAGCATTTAGATAAAAAGTGGATGCAGGGGCTGCCTTACCCTGAGTTTAGATCCTTGTAGCAGGGAGCGCCTTCAGGAGTATCAAATCATTTTCTGAAATGAGGATCTCATCCCATTCTGTCAAGGGAAGGGGCACTATCTTGGTTTAAGGCAGTTATCTAAGGCAACGTTACTGCAGCTCCAGGGAGGAGGGACACAGGAGGATTATCTGAGAGTAGGAGGAGGGGATAGAGCAGGAGAGGATTTAACGGACACATTCTATGATCCTGGTCACCACGGATTTGATCAAATACTTTTTTTTCTTGTCTTTTTTATTGAGACCTCTAAAACTGTTGGTTTGATAGTCTAAGAGTAAATAGGTCATTTTTTTGTCCATTCAGGGATATAAAGTTATGCTTGCTATTTAGTCTAAATATATATTTCATGGTTATAGCAAGTATCCTCTTTATGTTGTCTGCCAATGGAAACAATCTCCAAGCTAAGCAGTCAGCTGAATGGATTGTCTTTCATAGCACGGATAACCAGCCAGCTCACTCTAATATTTCAAAAGCGTAATGAACCCCATGCCCCACCACCAATATCCAAAAGCAGTTCTAGAACCAGCAAAATTCTATATTGGTAACAAAGACAGTAGGCTCTTCCAGAGCAAGTGCTTTGCTGGCCTTCCAAGAAATAATGATAATAAAATAAAAATAAAGTAATTTTGGGGTCAAAGCAACATAGAAAGCATTTCTTAAATAATTCATTACTTCAAAAAGCAGGAACGAAAGAAGAATATCTTTCTGTTTATGACAGTTATCTAATAATTTTATTTTAGTAGGCTTCAAAACTAAAATCTTGCTGTGTATCAGAGTTTTTAATGGTATTAACTCTCAATGTAGGCGAAAGTGTTAAATGTGGTTTATGCAGCTATCCTAACTCCACATTTGATAATAAACATATAAAAGCTTTGAAACAGTTGCTTTTCATAATTTTTTCTCAACTCTCTGTCAATGGACTCTCAATATATATCGCAAGATAATTCATCCCCAGGAGGTTTCGTGCTATCAGATTTAGGAAACCAGAAAAATAGCTTGAGATCCAAAAAGATGAGTGGTGACATTTCAGACATGGTGACAGAATGTGGGGAAGCTATTTTGAGACCAAGGCTACCCAATAGTCAGACACTAGGTATAGAGAAGGTGAACAGGCTAATCCAATTTAATTGTCTTTTTTTATTATTATTTTTAGAAGATATTTCTACTGGTTACAGAAATTTTTATGCAAACATATTATACATGATTATCCTTTTATATTGTGCATGAAATAAAAGAGAAGGTTAAAAAAAAACAAGATTATTCAAGCATGGTATAGGAGAGAAATCTGGACTGGTAGTCAGGAAAGTTATATAAATATGAAAAGGAGATATTTGGTCATTGATTTTGGGTATTCCCCTCCCCCCCACACTAAGAATACAGAGGTCACTTTCAGGATTGAACTGCATTTTAAATGGAAACCTGACCAATTAGATTAGAGTTCAGTCTCTTGTCTATCGAGACCCCACAGCCAACCCTTAATTGCTACTGTGATGACGAGTTTGTTAGTGACCTACATGGGGGTCTAATATTTCACATTTTAAAATGTAGATGTTGACCAAGTTGGCCTCTAAATCCCTTTTTAGATCCAAGCTATCAATCTTGAGTACGTAATCCTGATTGTATCTTTTATACACATGAAGTGTTAGGACAAGTGCTGTGCTGGAACTGACTT